GAGCGGTCGCTACTGCTTGCGAACACTTTTTGTGACGTAGGAGTGGTCATGGTGGGGGCAGTGCTGGTGGGACTGATGATGACCTTTGTTGCTGACAAAAGCCACTCAATAAGAAGATCAATTACAAAATCAATAACAGTAACAGTAGTAACAGCAGTACGTGACAGTACTAATACCAAGAACAACAAGAAAAAGATCATGTTGTGATCTTAGAAAGCTCCATGCCAAGAACTCCTCCATGACCGTAAGAAAGCAACATTTATTTCCATTATTTCTGAACATCATCCTCATAAATTTTGCGATACAAGAACCTCAGGATCATCCATGATGAAACTTTCCCCCAAATTTTCTTCTGTAAGAATATCATGTGGGGAATAGTACAGAATTTTTTTATTTTTTTATGCTGAACATGTTGATGAATCTCAGGACATGATGGAAATAATGTATTTGGCCATCATGACCAAAATTGTGGACTACCCAGCATTAATTACAAATTGATGAATTATGTCACAGGAATGTTGGAAAATTTCCTTCGTATGGGAAATTCTCCCATACCTGATGATTCTCAATCTTTACTAATTTATCTAGTCAATACTAGGATTAATCCGCATTTTACTCTTCTTTAAGGCTTTGTACGCATCTTATGCATATCAAATAAACATAAATTGGTAAAGAAAGGAGAATTCCATAGCCTAGTATTCTGTCAATCACCAGTATTAGCACTATTCCAAGGACATAGTGCAGCTGAATTTCAATCCAAGGATCTCAACAACATACTAGCATCTAAGGATGCTTGAGAGGAACGCAACATGGACACCAACAGAGGAAACAAATAGACCAAGAAGGTGGCCAACACTAATTCCAACAACAAGCATCCAGGACGCAGCAGATGGAACAGGGGCACTCAAACAAACAGCAAAAAGGCTGATGGCATAAAGAAGTTCACAGGTCCCAAATAAAGGGGACCTTGAAGGAGTTGTCCTCATGGAGGATGGCAGTAGTATAACCCAATTCACCAAGGTACAAGACAGGCTACAAACAGTAGGTGGCTCAAAGTACATGCCCAAAGTCAGCACGTCCATTGAGACACCCAAACAATTCAGCAGACCCAATTTTGCACCAGTCAAACCAACCCCAGATAAATGGACTGAAACCAAGACAGTTGAAGGAAAAAAGTTGGAGGTTGTTGATGAAGACTTGAGGGAAGTCTTATCTGACATGTACAAGAAGCAGGTCAAGCAAAATGTGAAGGATTACATAACATACTACACTGACATGTTTATGATCTATGCTCTAGCCCTTGCACAGACTGACAACAATATGAAGGAAAAGCTTAAGAGCAGTAACAAGTGGGAGGAAATCAACAAGAACAGATGTCCTGTGGAGCTGCTCAACTACTCAGAGACACGTATTTTCAAGGAAATAAAACAAAGATTCATCTGCCCACTAACCTGGTCAGGTCTATCCAAAAGCTCATCTGCTCTTGTCAATGAACAAACATCTTTACATTCTATGTTCAATCTGTCATACAATTCAGTGAGGTCCTGGAGACAATTGGAGGAGAGTATATCTTCCCAGCTTTAATCAAGCATGAGTTAGACGAAACAAACAAGAAATACAAGGATAAGGAAAAGATATCCTATCAGGATTATCTGAAGATGCCACAAGACAACAAGTTGAAGAAGCACATAAATCACACTACTTTCCAACAGTTCATTGCAGCAATAAGCATTGAGGGTAGCGACAAGGAGACAAGCACCTTAAAAGAAAGGACTCTAGGAAACCAATACAGTCTAGGTGTGGACCAGTACCCAACCATAACAACTCAAGCCCTTGACATGTTGAATCACTTCAAGGGAACAAAGAAGCCAAAGCCAAAACCAAAAAAGAACCAAAACAATTCAAGGGTGGTAATCAGACTACTGAATCCAACAAAAAGGAATCAACAGAGGCAACAACTTTGTAAACAAAGGTGAGGAACAACAGTACCACAAGAGTGCTAAACAAATGCTCATGATAGCAGTCAAAAATGGTGATGACTTTGGGTAGGAGATGGATAATTACTTTCAATTGTGTGTCCAGAACACAGGTGAACTTTGCAGGGAAACAAGACAACACCAACAAGTTCAATGGACGCATACAACAGATGACAAGGAATCCACATGGGGCGACACCTGCTTAACACATATTGGCTTCTTGTTGTTGGAATGCAGCAGCTATGAGTTGCATCAGGACAACGACAACAACTGGGACTACTGGGCAAGGCAAGAACAGGTTCCATTACAAGGTGGTGACCATATTGAAATATACCCACCACACTGAACAACTATTCGCTCAAGTCTCACGTAACAGCAACAGAGGCTGCATCAATGAGAACTGGATACTGCTTGACAGTGAATTGTTTTGCAATCTTTTTACCAACCCAAAACTGGTTACAAATATTTGAACAGTGCCTTACGGGAGGAACATGACCATACACTGCAACTCAGGTGTGGCACACACCAACCAAATAGCAGAGTCACTGGTCACGCTGCAGAATGGGGTGAAGAAAGGAATTTGACTCTATGGTGAAGCTGGGGTGAATGTAGTACTCAAAGAGCTTAAGCAGCTACACAATACTAGGAAGGTTCTATCAGCACTGGATCCAAGCACCATGACCAAAGAGATGGTGCAACAATCATTACCATATCTGATGTTTCTCAAGAGGAAAAGAAACACCTCTATTAAGGGCAGAAGATGTGCGGATGGGCACCACCCATGCAAGAATATCTGCAAGGAGGATGCAACTTCTCCAACTGTATCCCTGTACACTTTAGTGCTGTCCAGTATCATTGACACCATTGAGGAACACAATGTGGCCAGAGTCAACATCCCTGGGGCTTTTCTTCAAACAGACATGCCAGAGGGCGAGGATGTATACATTAGACTTGATGGGCCTATGGCAGAGCTTCTATGCAGGATCAATCCTAGAATGTACAGCAAAAGGTTTTGTACGCATCTCATGCGTATTGAATGAACAGAACATGCCCTATTACTATATTGGTGATACATGTTGCTGAGTTTTGGAAAGGTTTTTATTTCAGCATGAACGAATTCTGCACTATCCACAAGTAGTAGACTTGACAGATCTAGAAATAATATATATGCTGCATTATGTTTATAGCTGTTGTAGCATCGAAGGCCCGTACCATGTCATGGTTTGTTGAATTCCACGCCTTTCGCACTTCACTCTTTGTCACCCAATTTTTGGCATCAAATCGCATCGCATTTCATCACCTCAAAGGGCACCCAGGACAAAGTCTATGTCACCATCTAAGACGCGCTTGGTACACGACTTCTCGTCAATGTTTCCGAGTTTCGCTCGGGTGGGCTTGTCGCGGCAGCCGCTGAAGGCCCGTCGTTTCTTGGAGGCAGGACTCTCATTCTCGAGGTCTTTCAGGTTTGTGTTCCCGGCTCCCCGAGCCGCAACAAAGATCTCATCCTTGCTCATTGTCGACATTTGCTCGTAGCGAGACTTCCATTCGGCTTGCCAGTTTCCATCGTCTTCCTGTTCGATGTATTCGCCCGTCTCGTCGTCGAGGACATAGCGCTTTGCGGCCAGCGACGGTTGGGGGGCGATCACGACACTCAGTGTGGCCACCGCGGCAGACGAAAGAATGGAGGACACGAAGGATCTTCGATTATCGATGCCGTTATCCGCGTTTCTGCTGCAGTTGCTGTTTGTGGTAGCCTCGAGGGCAACTGTTCTGCTTCTCGCGACGTCGGTTGCCATGGGCGCGAACGAATGAACGGTGTGTGTTTGGTATGGTCCCAGTAGCATCGTCGTAACGACAAGGACCAGAATGCGCGGTACGCGACAGATCCTCGTCGAGACGTTCAAGTTGCAATCTTTCATCGCTGTTGGTCGCATGTGCGGATTATCAAATTGCAGAGACCGAGCGAAAATGTTGTGTTTGGTTTTGTGTTGCTTATCTGTCTTCGGCTAACATACCGTAAGGTACCGGTACGGCAAGGAACGAAAGCTATTACAGCATGAAAGAACCCTATTACTGTACGGTATGGTACGAACTGAGCAGCATGCTCTTGCGTACGTGTTTGAAATTTTATCCCTGAGAGTGATCCTGAATTCACCAACCGAAACCTGGGCCCTCCGGTACCCACGCAGCGTGAGTAAAAATTGACGCATGGCAATCTTGTTTCATGGCTGAATATTTTTGTGGTCTTCACGGAGCGTGC